CTAGCACTCTTCCGTATGATACGGACAGTATCGATTGTCAAGATTCATAGGTCTTGGCATCAAACGCTTCTGCTCCGTTTAACAAGCTCAAACTTACTTAACTTGAAGGACTATCAGTTGTGATATGGTTTGTACTGCTGTGATGCTTTAAACAACACGGTCCTTGCCGCACAGTACTTGCTTGACCCGATGAGTGACATACTGGCTGAACACTGGACAGCTGCATGCATATGCCGGGCGTAGCTGTTGTTGTGGAGGAGTGCGTTGCCTGCTGTCATGCCTTTCCGTGTCTGTTGCAGAACAGGCTACCAACACGCCTAATGCGCATGACACTGCGGCATGTGGTGCGCCTTTTTCAACAACTAATGCTTTTTTACTGCACCACTGTCGACTGACGATGTGACAGCACGCATGCGCACCTGCCGCAGGCCATGCCAGTCTAACTAATTGAGTGAATACTACATCACGTAATTCCTATGGTGCAAAACGACCGCACGCCACAAAACATGAAGGCATCACTTGTTATTGGCGAAACTGACATGTGTGGACTTATTGGACAAAGGCAAAATAAGTTGGCAGGCTATTAGGCTTGTAAGCATGACTTTGCAATGTTTGGAAGGCTGCATCCTGTTTTTGTCGATGTGCGTCGCGGCTTGACCGGTCAGCTACTTGATAGCGAATTGCAGTGTGAAGACTTCAGTCCAGTCCAAACATAACACTTGGGGCAGCTGCGCACCTCGTCAGTTTCAGTGCTCCGGCAATCGAAATTTGTTTTAATTTGCAGGCTGAGGTAATGTAGGTCGACTCTTACTGACTGCCGCGGCGGTTGACTTGCAAGTCGCCTTCGATTTAATTTAGGGCCGGGTGTCAAACAGTTATTCATAGTCAACAAAAATTCATAGCAAATATCACAACAACTCGTGCTGACCGACGTCACAGGAAGCAATGGGAGCCAGCACGCTAGTCTGAGCCAACCACAGCAGTTGCACCATAGACAACTTGATGTTATGAGGCCTGTTGCGTTCCTTGTCACCATGTTGCTGCTCTCGCAGTATGTTGGCTGCAACCTGGCATCAACCTCAGGTGTGGCAAGCTCGCGGGCACCTGGTTTTGCTGAATGATTTGTTTGCCAGGGTGCGAATGCACCTAATCGGATGTAGCAAGCTAGTGTATTGACCTTCCGGGCTGCGCAGGATCCCAGCAACAACTCGGTGAAGAAGACAGCAGCGTAGTGGCCTTGACGCCAGGTAATGCAAAGCAAGCTCTCGTGGGTGCCTGTAAGCCCGCTTCCGGGTACTTGGTCCGTAGAGAGACCGAGCAAATATGATGACCGTTCTGCAAGTTAGCGACGCTGCCCGGCCTTGATTCCCAGCTACAGCCATGCTGACCCATGCTTGGTGCATCGGACCTGTTCTGCTCACCTGCTGCTGCAGACCTGGACCATGTCATTTCAGGCCAGTTCATTGTCCAGCTTGTGGATGATGTTGTTGATGCAGAAGCTGCAGGCAAAACGCTGGTCAGCGAAGTGCAAGCAGCCATGATAGCAGCAGCACCCTCTGTCAGCAATGGTGTGGAGACGGCAGCATCCCACCAAGCCAGCGCGTTTAAGGTCCTGAAAACCCTGGGCGGCAGCAGCAGCAGCTGCAGCAGCGACAACCCCACTGAGCCTGCCACGGCTAGTGCAGCTGCAGCGCCAGCTGGCGCTGAAGCAGCCCCTCCTCCTCCCAAGTCCCTGCTTGTCAGTGCACCTGACTCAGCCGTGGACTTCATGAAGGCGTCAAGCGTGGTCAAGGCGGTGGTCCAGGACCGCGTCGTGGCAGCTCAGCAGACGGCAGCATGTGTGGAGCGCAAATACTTGCAGATAGGCGTAACTGCAGCGGCAATGCCGGGCTTCAAGTGGCCCGGCTGTATCACGCCCCGTTCAAAGCTCGTTTGGCGTGGCAGGGCCTGCGCCGGCGGCAGGATCTCGTGGGTTGAGATCCGTTCGAGAGACAGAGTGACACACGCGCAGATCATGTTCAACAGGGCGTCCTGCGTCATGTCACTTGCAGCCGCCAGCAGCAACAGCGCGACATATGTAAGGCAGAGGTTCGGGTCCTGGTGAGTTTGTGCAGTGCTTGGCTCCTGCTCTGCAGCTCCGATCTACCTGCTGTGCTGTTGTGTGTGATATGCCATGTGTCTGCCATAGCACCGCTGCATTGTGCCGGCTGTGATCTACGTTCTGCACAGCAGCTACCTCAGTATTGCTTTGAGGGATCGTCCAATTGTCGCCTGCTTGGACGCGCATGGCTACCAATGACCTGCCACCAGCAGCATCACTCAAGAACATCTGCTGTTGCTGTTGGGCCTGCTGACCCAACCTGCTGCTGTGCTCTCCCATATGCAGTGGCGTGGCCCCAGCCTTCGCACGCAACCTGCCTACACGTATCTGCTCAGCAACAGGCGGCAACCCAGGGACGGGCGGCAGCAGCACTGGTGGCAGCACTCCTGCAGGCCCAGGCACAGCTGGCCCTGGAGGGTTTGTCCTGCGCAGGGTGCCAGTCACCGGCAATGACCAGGTGCCAGCTGGCATCAGTCGCATCGAGGGGGCCACTGCCAAAGGAGTCTTCAACGTTGCCGGTGTGCCTGCTGAGAGGCAGGTGGCGGTTGGTGTGGTTGACAGCGGCATCGACGGCACGCACCCGGACCTGAATGTGGTTGGCGGCTCCTCCTGGGTCGTCCCGTCAGCGCAGGTGGCTGGTGATGTGGCAGATGCTGATGTGGACAGGTACGGGCACGGCACCCATGTGGCGGGCATCATCGGGGCCAAAAACAACGGTGAGCATTGTGGTGGCAGCAGCAGCAGTGATATAGCAGGAGTCGTAACCCTTGGTGTCCAGCAGCCATGACCTCTTGAATCCACGCAGCACCTGCCTGCTGGGCTGGCGCAACTTCGGTAGTTTGGATCAGCTCTTTGCAGTGCAGATCGAGCTTTGGTCGATGGCAACACTTCCGGTGACACTTCAGGAGCTCGTGTGCCCTTGATGAGCAATCATCTTGTACCTGCTGCTCCTGCATGCCCCAGCAAGTCAGCTGCTGGCCCCTGCTTAAGCAAGCTTGCAAAAATTTAGTGCTCAGGCCTGACACACATGTCATAACCTGCCTTTCACACCAGCTGCCGCTCCCGCTGTTTGCCTGCACTCCCGTGCCCTCTCCCTGTCCAGGTATTGGTGTTGTCGGCCTTGCACCAGGCTTGCCCCTCTACTCACTTAAGGTGCTAGATGCTCAGGGTGTTGGTTCGCTGTCTGATGCAATCGCGGCCGTGGAATGGGCTGCGAGTGCTGAAGGCCAGTCCAAGGCAAACATCAGGGTGATCAACCTATCACTGGCCGCCTACATTCCCCCAACCGACCCAGACTACCAGGCTACCCTGGACCTCGTGTGTTCATCCTTCAAAAGCGCCAGCGACGCAGGCATTGTTATCACTGCTGCCGCTGGCAACTACGCAAGCGACACCCGCGGCTACCTGCCAGCCTCATGCCCAACTGTCGTGGCGGTCACGTCCATGGACCCTGCAAGCAACAGCGCGTCGAGCTTCTCCAACTTCATGCCAACCGATGCTGCTCCTGTTGACACGAGCCGCACGATTGCTGCACCCGGCAACGCCATTCTGAGCACAATGTCGTACTTCAGAGAGGCCTCAGGCTACAGGGAGCTGTCAGGCACAAGCATGGCAAGCCCACATGTGGCTGGCGTGGCCGCAACGTGCTTCCTGTCTGGTGCATGCCCCACCAGCGGCGTCACTGGCATCGGCCAGCTTGCAAAACTACAAAGTGCTGCACAAGAGCGGTTGTCCGCGTCTGCTGGTTACGGCTTTGCGGGCGATGCCAGCAGTACCAGCAATGGCAGATTCTATGGCAGCCTACTGTGGGCCAAGTTCTGAGCTGGCTGGTGTTCAATTGTGAAGCGCTGGTGCTGTGCATTGAGATGCAACTGTGGCGTTGATGGTCAACACATGCCCGCACAGCATGCCTGCAGCCTTGAATCATGTTTCAGCAATGCTGGCTATTCATGGTAGTGGCCATGAGCTCAGCGGGCACTATCATGTGAGCCGTTAAAGCTCAAGCAGCAGGGCTAAGTTACCAAAAGCCCAGGGTGACAGCAGAGACAGGCGGCCGACGCGTCCATGCGCCAGCAACTCTTTTTTGTGCTTCTTTGAGCACGCCTGAGCATTGTTTGCTGCAAACTGCAACAGTAGTTACATCCCAGGGGCACCCAGCCGGCAATGATAGGAAAAACTGTCACCAGGCACCGGTGCCACCTTGCTCATTAACATGGGATTCCTTTGCAAGTACTGCTATTCCTTTCCAGGTCTAGCTATTCCTTACCAGGTCAGCTTGATTGCTGCTTTGGGCACACATGTGCAATGTGTACGCACCAACACGCATGCACGGGTTGATGGGGTGTGAATTCTGTTTGTTTTGCTTTTGTACAGCGACTTGACTGCAAGCCGTCATTGCTTTCATGTTTACATTCACATAACTTGCTGCTGTGTATGTATGTTTAGAACATAGCCAATTGCTTGCATTCCCTTGCGTTTTGCGTGCAAAACATGCTGAGCACTTGCTTCGGTGGTGATCAGTTGACGCATTGTGGCAGCTCTTATGCAGTGCTAGTAGTGCTGGAAGTGCGCATGTTCAAGGTGGCATCTTCAGCGTGCACTAGTGCTCTGTCACTTGCAAACACGTGATTGTGGGATGGGTGCACTGCAGCCTGTTGCTGTGCTGTCAGCTTGCATGCCGCTTCCTTCAGCTTCTTTAGCTTGTTGTGTATGTATACAATATACAATACAATACAATACATCTTCAGGATTGAAACCTGACCTCAGGCACTAGCCAGCGAGCCGCTACTCCGCTCATGAGGTGATCGTAGTTGTACCAGTCTTTCCTTCGTTGTTTGGGCGATCGAAACCACCCGCGCAAGTCCGTCATTCCAGTTGCTTTTATGCCAGCACGGGCGGTTGGACCAGGATTTGAACCTGGGTCTCCAGCATGCGATGCCGGTGTTCTACCACTAACTATGTGCTTATTCGCGGTGTACGGCTGCTGAGGTTTGTTGCTTGCAGGGTTTGAAGCTGGCAACAGCTTCAGCTTGATTGAACACCGGCAGCAAGCATGGGGTGTGACTAAACAGCCCACCTTGTAATGTGCTTGACTGCTAAACCTTTGCCTGACTGAATAATGCTGTGTGAATAGAAGTGCTAGTCTGCTCAGCCATTAACTTTGTGTTTTTACAACGTGGAAGGGCTGGTACGCCGAAGGTCCTTCATTGGTTGTTGTGCTTATTATGAAAGGTTATGTGTGCCCAATATAATGTCCTTGTCCAGCTCCGCATATATGCGCAGAGCTGGCACGCTAGTGGTGGGCTGTGGGGACTGCTGTGCTTTGCATGCGTTGCTGTGTCATGCGACTTGCTTTTGTGCAAAGCTGCTGTAGTCCTGGGCTTTCCCGTGTGCTGGCTATGGTCTGCTGATGAGTATCTTTCATTGCATGGTCTCACACTCCTGACTGCTGGACTGCACACACGCGTCGCATGTTGGCTGCGCTTGCTTGACCCTTTTAGCAGTGATCCCTGCCCCTGACAGATAATTTGCACACGGAAACTCCCAGTTCATGCAGGGTGTGCACGCCAACTGCGCTTGCTTCTTCAGCATTGAACGGTATTGACACCAGACCTGGCTGAGCAGTGCCCAGAAACACCACGTGATGCTTGCATGCTGGCATGTCATGCTTGGATAGCGCCGTGCTGTGGACCTTTTGAGCGGCGATGAACCCAGCTGCGCAGTCATGGCTGGTGCTGCAGCGTGTGTTGGGCAGCACATGTGCCTCGTCGAATGGTTCACTGTCAAGATAGCAGCTGCTGTGTTGCTGCTGCAAGTCGGCCAGCATGCCAGCGGGCACTCTTGACAGGGTGTTTGTGCGGTGTCGGCGTGTGCACTGGAAACTCTTGGGCTTCGGTCGCCGGCAATGTGCACGAGTGCAAGTGTACAACCCCCAACAGATTCCAGACTAGCCGGACTCTGATTTTCTATGCTCGCTGATCCGGCTAGGTTGAAGTGCAGCTGCTGGTCATATCTGGCAGTGTATTGACTAGACCGCGTCCCTCACACAGGACTTTGAGTGCAAGACCAATCACTAATCAACTACTCAGTGACTGCTGGATCAGGGTACAACAGTTCTTGTTGCGGCTTGTCAGAAAGCTTTGAAGATGGCAACTGTTGCCACACAGGGTGTGGTCCACCCTGCTGCGGCTTTGGATGAGGGAGGCTGGGTGACTCAGCTTTGCCATGCATCCAAGGCTAAGGAATTTCCAGCTAGGTGATTGAAGATTGATGGATCAGGTGGTTGCCTAATGAGCCTGTCATTGGCTCCAAAATGGGCGATGTTTCCGTCGTGTAACATCCAAGCTGTGATTATGCTGCTGCTCTAGACTCCCTCAGGCTGCTAAGTTACCATGCGCCACAGCCTGTGCATATGGTGTGCCAACACCATTGTCATTGGTGTCAACATAGATTTCTGTCAATGACGGCTGTGTAGAGAGCTGCAGAGAGCCGCAGTGCCGCAGTGCGCGTTCTTTCACATTGCTGCATGCAGGCTAGGTCCCTCTGCTCATTTGAAAACAGCAGTCCCCCCTGTCCTGCCATGTTGCCAGGTGATCATTTGCAGCAGCGCACCAGTGACGGCGACGATGCCGCGCCTGCCCCCCCCCCCCCTCCCACTGGAAACCCAGCCTGTAAATTACAGTTTGCAAGGGTCTGGAGAGCCGACTGTTCCTAGCTTTTCAGTTTCAATTGCAGGCTTGTGTAACCCTGTTCCTCTCCCACACGTGTTTGTGCGTGGTACTGGCCGTCGGCTGTAATGCATGCACTCATATGTGCAGAGCCTGCTGTGCAAGTATGGTGTGAATGTTGCGATTGCGGAAGGCAGAGCCAGTGCGTGCAAGAGCCATGTCAACAAGCAGGTCAAGACACTACATGCTGAAAGGATTGCATGTGAAACGTTGGAACACTCCACTCTGAGTCGGTATGTGGCTCATGTGCATCCCACTCATGTTGATGCTATGGGTTTCAGGAGGCCTAGGCCGTACTTGCGTTCAGTGGCAATACCACGTGGTGTTGAACTACTTTTGCGCGTTCGCATGGGTTGCCTGTGTGTACATGAGCGTACTAGTCAGTTTGGCGGTCGCAGAGCTAACTCCACTTCAAGATGTCCATGTTGTGGTGCAGAAGTTGAGTCTTTGTCACACTTGATGTTTGATTGCCCTGCTACTTCTGCTCAGAGGGATACTATGTTCGCTGAGATCAGATCCCTGCCTGGTTGCGCTGAAAAGTTGCGCAGCGTTTTGTCCATGGCTGATTCGTCAATCAAGGTGTTGCGTTTTGTATCTGATGATATTTGGGGCAGTTCTGGAAGTGTCGAATGGTGTCACCGTGTATTGCTGCTTTTCTTGTCAAGTCTTGGGATGTGCGCAATGCATGCAAACAATCTGGAGCGGTGCTCCCTCCTCTTTCCGCCCCGGTGGGGCGCGGGGCCGATGGCGCTGATGCTATGGCTTGAATGGGTAATATGATGATGATGATGATGATGATGATGATGATGATGATGATGATGATGATGATGATGATGATGATGATGCATGCACTCAGGCCATGGCGTGCACGTGCACCACAGAGGTACAACTGGCAAAGCCTGTCAAGTATGCTACAGCAAAACTCATTTGCAGCGGATTGACATCACAGGCGGTTGACGCTATGGCTTAAAATGTATGATGATGATGAGCCCCATGCAGTGTGAACCACAAAGTTCAACTGTAAGTTACAGCGGAGTGACGTCACAGACAGTTGTACAGACAGTTGTACACAGTAGCAAGGTTACAGCCGAGGCATGCACACAGCCACTGGGAACAAGAGTGACACGGGATCCCGTACATGACTGCATGCTGCAGCTTAGTTTAGAAGTACAACATTGAACACGGCGTGCAACATCGCGACAGTGGCACAGCCATCAACAATGAACGCCCCGTCTGCATTGTAGTACTGCTTCTTCAGGCCGCACATCAAAATTTGTCGTGGCAAGGTGTGCAAAAAGCCAACACTGCTCAGCTGCAGCGAACGGCTCAACCAAGCAGTGCCCCCCTCACTCCATCTGATGCACATGTCAACCAACTCCACAGACACCACCCACAGTATCAACACATTCGGCATGCATTGCTACCTTGTTTCACAGCAGTACAGAAACAGCGTGATAAACACCCAAACTGCTGCTCATTCTAGCAAGAAAATGCAGCAACACCCTTCACCACACAATGATATGCCACCTGGCCCGGTGCTGCACGTCAGTGGAGCTCAGTGCCTTCAAGGCACATGGACAAGTTGTCCGTGCCAGTGCTCCAAGGATGCAACGGCTAGCAATCAAGCCAACATCAGCCATGCTCTGTGAGGGACATTGCGTACTGCTGCTGAGGACATAAGACAATTTTCTGCTGGGGCAGCTGTGTTTATCTGTGTGTCTGTGTGGTTTATATATCTGCTCTCAGCGTGCCTAACAGTCCACATGTCCTGCAGCACAGAGCAACCTGTGCAACCAAGTGCCCTGAACTGCACAACTCGTCCTCAAAGCAGCCTACAGTGTTGTGGAATGTCCAAAACTGACCACAGTGGTGTGTTTGTGACCTCACGTTGTGCCGCTGTGTGTACAAATTTACTGCCATGCACCAAACTAAAAAGCTGCAGCGCACTGCCTATCCAGCAGCGCACCAGTTATCCAGCAACTGCGGTACAGCAAGTACGGTACAGCAACGTAGCCGACCCAAGTGCGGGCACAAGACTAGATCAAGCAAAGCAGTGCGCAACGTAGCAGGCCAGAGGTGATAAACAAGCGTAGCAACACACACATCAGAACTAGGTAGCCAGGTGCAGAGCCACGCAGCAGGCCAGCAGCATGCGGGCCGCACACAAGCGTTCAAACCCCCAAACCCTGCAGGACACGCTGCATGTGCATGTGGTATGTCTACCACATGTCATCAACAGCGGCGGCCTCCGAGGGCACCAAGGCTGGCTCAAGCACCCTCCTGCTGCGCCCAGGTCGCCGCGCCGCGCCTGCATATGGTGTGCCCACGGTTGACCATGCCAACAAGCTACCCAGAGTACACACTGAGCAGCATCAGTACACCCAACAGGGATGACATGCACGCATGGCATAATAGAAGCTGAAGGACAACTGCACGTCTCCACTCCCTTCTGCAGAGCATGAGACATAAATAAACCAAAGAAAGCAACATACAAGTGCAGCTACATACTCAAAGCACAACAAGCCTGCCCAAGAATCAGGAAGCTACAGCAAGAGCCCACAGTTTCAGCACACAGCAAGCACGTTCACAGGCTGTGGCATCCAACAAGTGCTGCTGCTAGGGCTCTGACCGTCATTGCTGCTGCATATAGCATATGCAGCGGTTCAATAAAACAACCCATCACCCCAACTCCCTGCGCAAACCATAACAAAGGGTTGCTTGTTAGTTGATGATGCCTGGCAGTTGACGGCAGTATGTAACTTCTGCAGCAATCCAGGTGCGAGCCGCAAGCCATGACAGGCGGGTACCAGTGCCGATGGTGTTGCCACAGGCAGATGTTGCATCACAATGCAAAGCTGCCAAGTCAGCACACGAGCATCATTGAACCAGAGGCACGGTGGACAATCCATTGGCCCGCACTCACACACTCTTGGCGTGCAACGGCTGCGCGAAACAATGCACCCAGCAACGTTGAGGCAAACAGTTGCAGCACAACACACGTTGCAAAACGCAATGCAGCAACTGCATCATTCACAAGGCCGGAGTGAGAGCCTAGGCCCCATGGCTGTCTTGAACCACAAAACCAAGTACTGATCTCCAACATTGCTGCTGCCAAGCAAGCCATGGCCTTGTTCAGTCGGCACAGCATGAAGTAAAGGTTTCAGACGCATGTAATAGAAGCACACGTGGGTAGGATGGCACAGGCAGGCACGCGGCAATCAGGCGTCTGTTGGGCA